CGCTCCAGTCAAAAGACTCACACTATCTTTAGAAAAACACTAGGCTGGGGTTTACCGAGTCACAATGTAATTCTCCATATAACTTTGGATCTGTAAATTACTATTCGTGATAATTTTTAAACATTCTGCAAAGAAAACTAACGAGCTGGGCCCAGCGTGGTACAACATTTCGGAAACACATTACATTCACGGACTAAAGAATATCGCTTAGTTATTCAGAACCAGAAGGCACTTTGGAGAAAAGTAAGACCCTTATTCAGCCGCAATAAAAAGCTTTACGCTTCAAAAGAGGTAAAAGAAAATGCTCTTGGATCAGAGGGCAAATCCTGCCGACCAGAGACAAAACCCCCGGGGAATCGATATGTATACCATGATCTCTCAGTGTGAAACAAGCGGCTAAAATCACATTTGCTCAGTGAAAATGTAGAACCTTCAAGAGCATAAGCTACCCAGCAGAGGAAAAAACTTATGGGAACAAGCAGCATTTTGGCGTGAGGTAAACGTCGTGTAGGCCTACCGCCCCCTTTTATTGCTATAAATACGGGATAAATACCCAAAGGTGTAATTCCTGTCGGCGATCGAGGCGCTGCTGAACTCTTTGTACTTGTCTTTGAAGGTTCACGTTCTGGAGAAGGATGAGAAGTCATGAGAGTATCTGTACCTCTCGCATTCCAAGTTCACTCATTAGAGGGAACATTGAAGTCGCTGACATCGATAAGGAAGTCATCCGTACCGTCTTCTGAGTAAATCATTGAACAAGGAGAACTGCTTGATTCACTTCTGAAAGTTTGTGGGCTCAGGCAAAAACTTTTCATTCCTAGATGAAAGAAAATTTGAAAATAATAAAGATAACCTGCTTTTTCTGTAGTAATAAACTCGAGCCAATTTTCTGATCTAAAACAGGCAGAACCGCTAGTGTTGATGGGAGACGGAAAGCCTGCCCATAATATTTTGTGCACAGCTACATGACTCATATGTGAATAAACTTTTAGCTGGTTTCAAGACGGTACTTGTTTATATCTGAACCATAAAAGTTGTAGACTGATAATAGCCAGTCATTTGAGAAATCGTCCCCTGAAGCTGTCTTGGGAAGCAAGTTTTCGAGATTCGCCAAGATTTTATAGCCTGCTGTTGATCAAATCTAGACTTAATTTCAGGGTTATCGGTCCAAGGCCTCAAAATATATACGTCTGTAATTAAGATAGAGGAAAATCTGTAATTAAAATGGAAAATGAAGTAAAAACCGGTCTATAAGAAACTGACGCCTAAAAAAATCCTTTGGCGACTGAACCTAAAGAGTTGGCCACCAAAGGAAAAATTTAACTTGGAGGGTTGTCATCCAGCGGCACGCATCACGCATTCATAGAAATGAATGCGTGAGGAACGAACCCCAAAGGACGTCTGCGCGGAGGCTAGCCGCCCAGGGTGAAACTCATAATGATCCATGAAGAAAAACAAAGAGAGGGATGGATGTTTACTGAGTGATTCTCCCTTAATTGTTCTGTATGTAATATCTTTCTGTTATTAGAACAACCTTCAGTCTTATCTAGCAAACAACCATTTCATCGTGTTACTGAAAATTTATATATCATACTTAGTAGTTACTGCAGTATTATTCTAAGTTACTTATATCTTGCATTTGTGCAGTTGGTTTCCCTGATTTACCTAGCCTGCGTCGAAGACACTCTAAACCGAATTGCGGTCGTTTCGCCTACGTCTAGAGTCGATTCGCCTACACCTGTAGGCAAAACGACCGGTAACCTCTAAACCGCCTGTATAGAGCGTACTATACCAATGGCCGAGTCCGATGCGTGGGCCGGCTTCAACGCAGGCTATGGTTCATCGAGCACACCCTTTTCAGTCGCTCTGGTCGAGGCTTGATTGTCAATTGGACGAGCCGAGCTCGTAGAGTGCTTGTTACTTGCTCGTAACATTTTCATATCATTTTCGCACGCTCGGCAATCCCTAGGAACTGCTAGTGGTACTTGCTTTTGCCCACAAAAACTTTCGCAGTGGATTTTTTCTTCGCGGGACTTTTTGGACGGATCTTCTAAAAAAATTACAAAGCTTGAAAAAGCGAAAATTATTTAGTAAGAAAATTATCTTTTATTTCTTTGGTTACCTTTCAGTACCTCGTGTATGACACACAGATCATGATGGGAGGGGGCAAAATGTACGCTATTTCGCCAGAAGAGTACATCTTTGCCGCGCTGAACCTCTACCTGGATATCGTCAACTTGTTCTTGTACATCCTCCAGTTAATTTCAGCAGCAAGAAACTAAAGTATTCTACGTATTAAGGGGAGTAGAACGATCTGAGGGAGCGGAGATCTTCCGCACTAAAAACCAAAAAGATCTGTTGCAGCCCCAAAACGTCAATTGAGCCCTGCAGGACAAAGTCCTATTCAGCTTCTCCTGGAGCTATTCGAACACAATTTAGAATGAAACAGCCCCATCAAAAGCTTATTCCAGCCCTCACGGGGACCCTTTCAACCCTTGTGTCCAAGTCAGCCCTAGGTAATTGGAATGTATTGGCCCTGATGAAGGAAGCCACTTCAGAACCCGAAAAAGAGGACTATATTTTAATCACCGAATTGAAACTTATCGATTTTTAGGGCTGAAACAGATCTCTCTGATTTACAGTAATAAATGACTAAGAACCGCCCATATATTACAGAAGTCAAGTGCTTTTCTTAAAGAAACTTTTTTTTCTCTACATAAAATGCTTTGATCCCTCTCTCTTTCCCCTGGACCAATGTTAAGAAGCATATTATAACATACCGAACATTTGAATGAATGACAGAATTACCGTAAATAAGACAACAATGTAGTGTCGCAAATGAGACGTGCGTGTTTCAAAGAAGTGGTCGCGTACTCAGATATTTAGCCCCCACCATTTACATGGAAAAACCAGTCGGTTCACGGTTGAGGCAAAGATGAGCAAAATTCAGGTAATGAAGGATAGTAAATTCCATCGGGAATAGCGTTTGTCATTTGCTGAAATCAGTCCCATTTACCAAAAATTAACGGACGGATACTAAACCCTGAAACTGGAATCAAAGCTGGCTCTGAAGAAATGAACCTGATCGTGAACTTCCGTTCGGAATATTTCAAACCAGGAAAACAGGACTACCTTTTCAGATGTTCCTTTTCAGTTGGGACGACCATAAAAGTCGAGATTCAATAACTTTCCAACCGGATTTTCCGAAAACTTATTTGTAGATGAATAAAAGTGATCTATACCTTTTAAGACGTTCCGCGTTTATTTTGGAATTTCTTTACGGGAGCGACCAGAACAGCTGTGCTCCACTTACTTTCTAACCGGATTTTCTGGAAACATTTTGTAAATGGTGTACAACGGTTAGGTGCCATTTATACGGGAAGATCCCCTCTTGTAATTGGACACGTCTTTATTCAGGGGCACCCAACGACAATTTTTGGAAAATATCTGTTCGGAAGACGATTTGAGATCTAGAATTTCGGAACATTTGTTGTAAAATTTCTTGCTTGCGTGCCTTTCCTAGGATTTTCGAACATCTAAATAATGGTATAATGGCCTATTTTTAACGGATTTTTACCCTAAAAAGATCACCTAGAATTTTCGGGAGCCTTTTTTCTGGCTGAAATTTTCGAAAAGGTAAGTTTTGATCGCTATATTTCGGATCACTAGACTTTCAGCTAGGAAATCCGAAGAGATGAAAAATTTTTAGGGGATGAAAAGATGCCTATATCTACCGTTTAAATACTAAAATACGCTTAACAATGCTATGTTTAAGTGGTTTGAACTATATTCTCGTTGGGTGCTCCTGTTCATGGTCCTCGTGTAAATGGCATGAATATGTGTTATTTCAACGTATACGTTATCTTCATGCCGATTGATGGTCGTGTTTCTTGTACAAATATTGATCACCCCTTGGCATTACGCTCGTCTTCGGGCTAATTCCTGCTTACTGTATCACTGGTACATATAAGGACATTTAAAAGAGTCACGAGGATATTGTATAAAAAGGAGAAGTCGTTACGCCACGTTGCCATGGTAGTAAAATTTCTGGATGACAACAAACCGAAAACGTCATTCAAAAGGTGAATTCGCACTGTTTCAAACTTCATCGATCTTATTCAATTTCCTTCAATTTGTCAAATGTTGGCGAAATTTTGTGGATCCGAAAGGACCGTATTTAAGTTAAGAAAAAGAACACTTTTGTGCTGTGTTCGCCCACTCCATAAAGCGGGCGCGTGAAATTTACAGAGAACAGGTCAAGCGTACCTCCAAGATTCTACTAATGAATTGATTATTTGAAAAATTAATCCGTTAGTCGTTCCCGTAACAGAAAACA